AGGGTAATCCATGGCCAAGATTGAAAGAACAGTATTAGCTGTAACTAGTGGCGGTTCCTTAATCGGATCCACGGTATGACAAGACATCTATTGGAGGAAACAAATTCGGCTTGTTCTCTGGTTCAAACCTGCATTACAAGTTACAGAAAATTTGCTTCTTATTACGGATTTATGCTCTAATAAGATAAAAAAATGCCAATACTATTTCATTATTCAATTTAGGTTTCATCAGTTTATGTGAACTAAGCCCAAAATATGTATAGGTATGAATGATTATATATAAATATGTTGCTAGTGACTTGCAATTATAATATTAGCCGTTGTTGTTGCATAATTAGATCAGTATGTGTGAACTCTTTTCGAATGAGCTAAATCAATATACCTGAGTGAAAGCCTATCAAGGTATGTCTCCCGGCCAATGGGAAACCATTTCGGAATCTGATCTATTATCCACGACAATGTAAGCCATATTTCACATATTACAGATACAAGCCAGAGTCCAACTGCGTCAGGCACTGGGTGTAAGACTCTGTACTGAAGGAACAATAGCAGAATCACAAGCCGAGCTGCGACCATCATCCTGTAAGGGCTGAGTCTGCCTGATGGTATTGCTACTTTCCTTGAGAGTGGCTGTCTAGCTTCGTCTCTCCTGCATCAGTTTGTATCACAACACGGTGTTACTTAGTTCATGACTTTCCTGGATTTCAAGTTAAAGACTTTTGAGATTTGTTACAAAGTTTCTGAATCGGGAGATAGGTCATGGTGCTTACATGGCCTTTTCAGGATCAATTGATGCATCAGTTTCAGGCCACAGATTGCCTTGTTGCACCTTCCATTCATTTGTTATCTCTGTCTTTTCATCCGACTTTGCATTTCCTGCTCCATTGAAAGCACTATGATTATTATAAGCAAGTTCCTGTGTTTTGTTTTTTAGCTTTGGAAATAATAGAAATGCGCTATTCTCTTGATATAATGGGAAAGCGAAAACATACCAGGTTCTCCAATAACAGGAATCTCTCCATTCACCTGCATATTGCGCACAAAAAATTAGAAACTACCATAAGAAACAAAAATTTTGATGAACCATATTTCTTTTTTTCCTTTCACCGCCTTTAATTTCCATGTATCAAGCATAGACTACAAGACTGACCTCGGCTATTACTACTGGTAATTTGGCATTCTCGTCATCTTCTCCACGGTCTATCATGAGCTTGTACCTTTCTTCTTCCATTTTGAACTCGTGCTCAATATCATCTATGTCATCTTCATCTTCATCCCCCTCAACTCTTGGGCTTCCTTTGCACAGCCGAAAAACGATAATTGAAAACCAAAACGGGGGAAAACCCACTCCAATTTTACTTTGTTTTCTTGTAAATTATGTAGTTAATTTCCTGTAATCAATATAAGTAAGTGTTTAAAATTAACATGTGCTTGGATGTTATACCTTTGATTCGCTTGTATCTGGTCTGGCACTGGGGGCAAACTTGAGTTCCTTCCCTCCTTTCATACTCATAACAAGGCCTGCACACTGGGAAACCACACTCTTCACAGGCCACAAACAAATCTCCGTCGACTGTATATCCTACAGAATCACCACACATCTCACATAGCTGCCCATCTAAGTTCTTCACAGGCTTAGGCTGCACCAAACGAAAGAATTTGTCAAGTCCAACATAAGCAGACTGTTAAACGTACGACAAATCAAACTTGTATTGTTTTTTAATGATTTACCTCTTCTTCATGTCCTTGTATGACCACAAGTTCGTTGCTGTTGTGAGACCCTGCAAAAAGTCCGGTGCTAGTTTCCATGGCGGGGGATGAATGAGGGCAGATCAAGTATGGATGACTGAAGTCGGGGTTGACATTTATAGCTGCTCTTCTGAATTAAAATTTTTTACATTTTACTATAATTTCTGAGACAAATTCTCATGTCGACATAAGGATTCTATCATTGGTTGCGGGGTTGCTATTTTGTTGAAGTAATACTGCAACTAAAGTTCATGTCTGAAACAGGGGAGAGTTTGCGCTTAAGAAACATATTGAATGCCTAAACATGGAGCCATCAACTTTGTGATATGAGAGTATGTTCTGATGTGGAGATAATTGGTGAAAGTTCTCTCCTTGTCAAGTCATGCAGGTGGAAGAAGCATCTCACGTTTCAGTTTCATAATGTTTATACGGCAACATTTGAAAACATTATGAAACTGGACGTTCTTCCTAAGATGCTTCAGTTCAGATTCATCCTGCTGCTTTTGTACTAATCTCAATCATTTTCAGGACACTGAGGTCTGTTCTTCCTGTGGGGAAAAAATGACTGTTTTTGTTATTTCAGCTCACCTACGCAAAAATGACAATGAGGGATGAGGGAACAGAAGGATAGGATGTCGCCACCTACCATCTTCATCATGAAGATTCAATTCTCTACAGTGATTCAATTCTCTACAGTGAAAATAGTTACCATCTCTATGTTGAATTTGATATGATAGTTAAAGGGGCACAACTTGATGATACGTAATTTTTTTGATGATCCCACTTCATCTAATCTCTCTTCGTACACGAGGGAATAAATAAAAGGCTTAAGCCTTTGGGTTTTTCTATTAGTTGTAAACACCTTTTTCCTTCTCTCTGTACCAATACAGAACGGAACCATAGAAGATCCTTATTGTTAAATGATCGAATCTGGAGAAGCTGTCTATATGGGCGGAAGCCATAGCATTAAAATTTTAAAACTCAGCATTGATCGGGTAAGTTCTTCTCTTGTCGACTGTGTTCCAATGCATATTTATTCTTGGCAATAAAATGGCACTCGTACATTGGAAAGCAGAGATGAAGCAGAAGCAAAGATATTCCTTAAATGGAACCCGGATTTTTTCTGTTCAATTATGAAACTTATTATTAAACTTCAGATTAATTGAAAAGTACTACACATCAGATGTAATCATTTAACTTTTTTTCTCCTGGATTTTCTACTATCATGAACAAGTTTTCAGTCCATTTTTTATTGCAAAGGCTCTAACCCCCCAAGTCCAAAGTGCCGCCTCAGATTTAATATCTTCAGCTTACCTATAACTCTTTTGGAGTGGTCTTTAAGTTTATTTTTCTCAATGAAGACCGCTAATTTTATAATTTTTTCCTTTACTTCACCTGTTCTAATTTCTTTTTGCACACTGATGGTGATAAGTCAGCTTAATTAATAATAAAATGGGCTTTATGGAGATTTTGTCTCAATTTCATTTTTCTTCCTTGCCTCTCTGCGTATGCGCGTGTGTGTGTTGTTTTTCCTTTCCTGAGGTTAATTTGAGCAGAAATAATTCAATTACAATGGAAGATCAAACTGTGCCCAGGTAAGAGCCACTTGATACTTTATTTTTGTTATGATTTGATCTTTTGGATTTTGTTTTGGGCAGATGAATCAAAACATTGCCTCAATTTCTATCCTCTCTAGTAAGTCTTCAGATGATTGCTTTTCTTTTATTATTCCTTGTGCTATTTCTACATGTGCTTTTGAACTTCACAACACAAGCATAAAGAGTAGATTAAACTTAGTTTTGATCACAAATGGGACAATAGACAAATCTGTAAGTTTGATTTACTTCCCAATCGTTGGGTAAATTTGAGCCAAACATGTCATTGATACATTTACAAAACTGAGAAGCTGCAATTTTGTACTACACAAAAATTTCACTTTTTTCCTTATTCATCCTAATGCATTTCTTCACCATTCTGGTTCAAGCATCATTATCATACCCCATATTGCAAATCAACAATATACACATCTTACAACAGATGTTCATCTCAAAGAATCACTATAAAAGAGATAAAAACCCACTCTTTTTAGCAGTTGATTCCACACATCTTAGTATCAGGGCCCTTAGCTTTCATCACAAATGGGTCAATTCTGACCCAAAGTAGGGAGAAAATAGAAGCCAAGAGCACTGACCATATGACCACAATGGTGGGTGTTCGGTTTTGCCTTCCCATCAAACCTTTAAGGAATGGGTAGAGATGAACAATGACCCAGAAGGAAAAGAAGAGCTTTCCAAATAGGGGTCCCCAGGATTGGTAGCCATTGTTGATTGCATCAGAGATTCCAGCAACGACACCAACAATATTGATGATTAGTATAGTGGTTGGTGGGATTAGGAGAGTGGTCCATTTAAAGGAGTATAATTCTCCAAATTCCTCATCATCTGCTGCCTTTGATGTAACAGTGAAGTTTGTGTCTATTCCAGCTAGCACCTTCAGAAGACCCTGTATGACAGCAAATAGATGTGCTGATACACCACCAATGACCCAGAATTGCTCATTTCTCCACCATTCCTCTATGCTTACTCCACTCCATTTCAACTCGAGCAGGCCCGTCGCAATGATGGAAGAGAACAAAGCAACGAAGTACAAACCGGCGAAAGTGCTTATCTGGTACATTAACCATCAAAGAATTTAGTTACATGAGCTCAGAGATCTCATATGAATCCTGGGAAAGACCATGTTAACCCAAAAAATTTAAGCTTTTAGGTGACAGTTCATAGTTAGTTTTGTTGATATCTCTACCACAATTGACAAGTCTCAAAAATGGCTTCGACTCAACCTTTAGCACTTTTAAGTGTTAAAAGTTTCTAACATTTTCTTTAGACGCCTTGACTCCTGTGAACTGCCCTATATGATATCAGCATTTATATCATGTTATTTACTTTTGAAGATTATGGAATCATGGGCATGTTATATCAAATTAGCTAGTCTGTGTTGAATTGTTTTTCAAGCAAAAGAGGGAATAGAATTGTTACCGGTGGCATGATGAACTTGTCGGTGAGCAAGCAAATAGCAGGAAGAATACAGTAGGCAAGCAGAGGAAGGGAGGTGAAGGGGTAGACAGTGGTGTTGACATAGGCAAATCGCTCCAGCCACTTGAGCTTGTTGCCACCCTTGTAGCCATACCATGCAGGGCAATGGGGACTGAAGAAGATCTCAATCGAACCCAGAGCCCAACGAAGCACCTGGTTCAGCCTATCTGACAAGTTGATTGGAGCTGTACCCTTGAATGCAGGTCTCTTTGGCATGCAGTAAATAGACCTCCAACCACGGCAATGCATCTTGAAACCTGTTAGGATATCCTCTGTAATAGATCCATAGATCCAACCCAGCTGCACATGATAAAACCAGCAACTTAGATCAGTTAAAACCTGATAGAGACTTGGTAATATAGGATACTAAGTCTCGTATTAAGCCGTTTGCATTACCTCAGTTCCCCATTCGGTTTTATCCTCATAGCCACAGCTTATGACATGAATTGCTTCTTTGAGCAGGGCTGCTGGGCTTGAAGAAGGAGGCACACCACCTTCTTCCATCAAAGTTGAAGTCACAAAGATAGATGATTGCCCAAATTTCTTTTCAAAATTCATCTGAGACATGAGCAACTCTTTATCATCTTCCATTCCTGCTAAAGCAAGTCACACAGGCACAAGTAAGAATAGCCAGCTCTGTATGGAAACCTAACTCGGTGACTAGGATTAGTAATAAGAACCTTGTTGTAGCATTGCAGACTCTGCATTTGCACCATCCTTTGCGTACTTTTCTTTCCTCCTGCGTCCAAAACATGGGCAGCAATCACAACTCACCATCTTGGGGCGTTTAGGACCCTTTGGAGGACTGTATCCATATAAAGCTTGCCTCCTGAAAACACATCCAGTTCCCACATACACAGGACCCTGGATACCATCTAGACCCTTCATGTTAATCTGCAAACAAACACAACAACTCGCAGGTTAAAAAAAAACATAAAACTAGGAAATATGGACAATCAAATGCAAGGAAGAGACAACTTGGGTATTGGTTGAAATGACTCACATCGAAGAAAACTGTGTTCCTGTTGGCATAACGATCGTTCCTGTCAATGCCATCAAATCTTTGAGGGAACTGGACATAGCAGACTTTCTTTCCAGTTTGGGGATCCATCAAGAAGCACATGGCCTCTCTGACGGCCTTGCTGTTATTAATATAGTGATCACAATCCAAGTTGAGCATGAAAGGAGCATTTGTAAGCACAGCAGAAACTCGAACCAGAGCATTCATGGCGCCGGCTTTCTTGTGGTGAGCAAAACCAGGCCTTTTCTCTCTGGAGACATAAACGAGGCGAGGAAGAAGGTTGCCATCGGTGTCGCAGCCTCCGCTGTGACCGAGAAAGACTTGGATCATTCCAGGATGGTCCTTGGTGTTGTTGCCTGGCCATGGAGTCCCATCCTGCATAATCCATCCTCCTGGTGGAACCTTCTGGGCTTTCGCCACAAGTGCATTCACTCTCACCTTGAACTCTTCGTATTCTCTCTGTCATCATCCCAACATACTTTCAGCCTTCTTCCAATGTTTGGGTAAAACAAGCTACGAAGCCAAAAGCATACGCCACAATTTTTTTCCATCAAAATATAACATACTACCTCCTTTCTAAATATATAGCTAATTTGTATATGTTAAAAAATTAGTTAAATTAATTTTTTGTTAATATTATGTGTTAGTTTCTTTAAAATACTTTTTAGTCATTTATATTAAAACTACCTTTTTTAGAAACCCTTTTAATATATAATTTAATACGGAGAATTTAATAAAAAAATCATAAATTTGGGAGTCAAAATTGGGTCTATGTTTATAATCAAAACCAATTTTCTATTAACTTTGATATTTATGATAGGATTACGATTTATTTAACATATATATAACAGTAATTTATATAGAAAAAATTACATTACAATTAAGTATTAAAAAATTATTATTTAAAATTTTTCAATGGTAATTATTTTGAAGCACCAGAATTATATTATTATAAGTTTAATAAAAATTAT